TACAAGTTCTTTAAACCACAGAACAGTAAAATTTCAGTGTTCTTTTAGCATACTCAGCCTCTTGTCTGTAAATACCACAGGCTGGCACATGAGACAATTAAAGGTTCTGACCAACTTCCCTTAGCAAGATTTTAAGCCAAGAAAAAGAAGACCAGCCATATTGTGCCAGATCAAAGGCCCATCTAGTCTTGATGGGCCATTTTTCAACAGTTCTCACAAGCAGGTGCCTGAGGAGGCATTATGAAAAATAGCAAGAATGTGTTGATATTTGTCTGGAGTACACTGCAGGCTTCAGCAATTTATGACCAGCATTTTTTAAATCATTAGAATGCTGCTAAATTACATCACTTAGAAAATATACCTAAATGCTAAGTATTTTCTTATACTCTTATTACTTGTATTGCTGCATTTAGACAGAAGGCTGCACGAGTCTTTAAATTTTTAATTTTTTTCCCAAAGATAGTAGGATAGCCTTTTATTTCAAAAAAATTATTGAGAAATGCTGTTTTATAGCATTTTTCATTAGTAAAATAAAAACAAACCCCAAGCATTAGTGAAACTTCTCTATGATCAACACTGCAAATTACACGTTGGAATGGATTCAGCTAAAGGTTCATGTACCCAGCGAATAAGGTGATAGTGTTTCCATTTCATTGTACTTATTTTGGAGATTTTAGCATGTCTTCATAATATTTTTATTTCCCTAACTCTGGTCATGTTAAAGCCTTATTTAAAGTACCCAAGTCAGTAACTCTTGATTTCATGCAGCGGTTTGTGCAAATGCTGTTTTCTCATATTTCTCTGTCAGGTTGCATTTGTTTCTACTGCTCTCCAGTTCATCTGAATTTTTATATTGGCTGTGTTCACATCTTGATGTTCACTGTAGAAATATTCAGACACAACTCTTAAACATGGGGTTTGACACTTTTATTTATTTCCTTCTTCTTTTCTTCCCATAGTTGTTTTCAGAATAACGTTGAGATCCATGTTGCACATATTCAGAGTGGTCTGAGCCAGATGGGAAATTTACATGCTTTTGCAGCTAATAACACCAACAGAGACTGAAAACTTCCTCTCAAGTGTACAGCAAGTAGTTCTGGAAAACCTTCCTTTCTATAGGCTTCACCAAATACCCTAACTGCCAGAAGATAAGGGAAAAGAAAATCTCTCAGAAAGGACCCTTTTGAATCTATTGTATCCGCTTCTTAAGAAAACCAGCATTACTGGCCAGCATTACATTAGACTTCTCCATTTGTTATTCACATGCAGTAGTTTTGCTAACTGGTAATCTCTTAGTAATTGCATTTATTATAGTAAACTTGAAAACATACTTTCATATAATTTGAACTTAGTTTTTAAAAGTTCAAATTAACTCTGTGCACCTCTTGCTGTTGGGTCTCCTGGTATGTTAGAAGTGAGGAAGAGGAAATGGTTCAGTTTAGTGGCCACATGGCAGGTCTTTGTTGTGTAAAGTTACGCCTCTGTGTAGCTCTTGAGAACTGCCGGTTCAGCCCTCGGGTAGCACCGTCCCTGATCTAAGACAGCAGCAGCAGGATAGGGGCAGCAAACATAAGCTGTAAACATGAGGATGTTGGGCAGGTCTGTCGATCAGTCAGTGTCTTCTTGGAGCTCTTAATTTATCGTAACTTATAGAAGGAGTCTAATGAAGGAATATAAAAATGTAACTGGTATCTTTCCAGAAAGAAATTGGTTATGGCTTTTTCCCTCCACACAGGGCAAAAGAAGTTCTGTGGTTGGTATTTGATATAAATGACTGGTTAAACATACTGGTTTTCCAAATTTTTGTTTGTTTTGCACAACTTTTAAATTATATTACTGGTTATTCAACAATACCCAACCTATATAAATATGAAGATTTTTATAATGAAAAATAACCAGTGAGGTAAACTACGCAAATAAAAAGTGACAACCTGCCTAGGAATTGGAATTAACCTTTTGGAATGTTAATCTTGTAAAAAGTGTGTATTGGTTTGTTTAAATAGTCTTGTAAAGCTTCTGTGTAATGAATTGTTTCCAGATTTGAATTTTCAGAGATAGCTGTAGAGATGTTTTTGATTCTTTTAGATGCCTCATTAAATAAGGTCTTTTATATGTTAATGTATAAAGAATATGTAAACAGGATTATTTTCAATTTAAAAATTTTGTATAGTTTAAAGATGCTTCTGTATTCTGTGTTGGTATTGTGTCACTGCAAAACTTTAGTGCAGAGTTTATATTTAGGTAAACTTGTTCTGTTAATTAAGAGAAATGCATAAATCTTTTATTCTCAATGAAATTTGTAACTGAATAAATTGAGCTATGAGAGTTGATATATTTCACAAAAATGCAAACTTTTTTGCAGATGGTCTCAGGTCGTTTTTTTAAGAGAAGTTAATTGCTGAAAAATGTTATGAGGACAAGGTGAGTAGCTGTTTTTAAAGGTACTTTGAAACTTTACAAGAAATATTACAAAATAATGCTAAACAGTAATTTAACTGAATTACCCATGGAAACTTACCTCTCATAATGCAATCGAACATTACGGTGGTCCCTGCAATTGCTTTTGTAATTATGTTACCCATTATTTTGTGATGTTAGCATCTGTTTGGTAAAGAAGACAGAAAGGTGTCCTTTCCCACCACCCTTTTCATTTAAATAGAGAAAGGTGCCAAAGCCTAACTTAAGGTACGTAGGTTTAGTCAGACAGGAACTAATCTGATCTACAGCTAACTCGGGAAAAAGGAACCATCCCCTTGCACCCCTGTCCTTGTCTTCTGGTGCTCATAAAAAACAGCAGCGCTATCCTGCTGTTCAGGGAGCCACAGTGCTGAGGAACTGTTTCTGTTGGGTTTTTCTGCCTATGTGTCACTGAACTCACTGCCAGGGGTGATGGGTGGCGGTGCAGACACAAAGCAGCAGCAAGGACTGCCTCTTCCAACAGCAGCCTGCTGCTCCCTGTACACACCTCTGCAGTCCTCACTGATCTCTTGGGGCTCAGGTTCAGCTTATGCACCATAAGCAGGATTTCCCAGGACTAACCAGGAGGCAACTTGGCCCTGTTGATAACAAGCATCCCAAACTGAGGGAGAGAGAAGTTGTAGATGCTGGAAGATACCACTACCAAGAATGGTATTCACTCAACCTGCTTTTCATAACCACCTTAGTTCTTAGTGGACACAAAAAACATTGCATAACCAGCATGCTCCAGACTTAAGTCTGATTCCATAGGTATGAAGTTTTTTACATGTGGATTCTTCAGTGTGCTCTCCAGCATGTTTTGTGTTGATGTGGGGTTTCTTTAATTATTGCAGGGTAATAGGAAGATACACCATTTGTGATAAGCATATCTGTGTGCTTTCACATGTAATTTGTCCCACTCACGCTGGCAATGTGAATATACACAGCTCTTCTTTGAGAGGCTGCATTTCTGCTTGGGTACCAATATGTTGGGTTAAAGCTAACGTTGAATTTTGGTGACAGTAACAAATATGACTGTTTTTGCTGAATATGCCCTAAGCATAGCAAGTGTCAAGAACTCAATACAACTACTGTAACTGAAGTCTGCAGGAGCAGAACAAGTTACTTTCATTTCTTATAATCAGTAAGCTTGAATTTACCCTGAGCCTCCAAGAAATGATGGTCTCATTTTTTGTGAGTGCTTTTCTTCAGGGGTCTTCCCGACCCCCAACATGGCAGCTCCTTTTGCACCCAACTCCACTTGGGAAACAGGTGGTGTCCTGAGGTTGGTTTTTACTTCATGTTTTTTTAAGGGCAGCTGTGTTTTTTGGAGGGAGAATGTCACTTCACTTACGAGCTTGCAGTCCAGCCAGGATTCAGCTGTCCCAGATCTCACAAGTACAGGTGTGTTATGGGGTAGCACTGAGGGATTTTGTACACTGGTAACCTTATTCTAGCAGGAGCTTGATTCCTGACATGGGGTATTTCTGCCACCAGTACATGGGTAATGTTTCCTGTGCTTTCGAACCTCGTGGCATTCAGGTGCTCTTCCATAACTGTAGTCTTACAACTCGCTGTGGTAGGCTCTGGTACCACTTTGTAGGCAGGAAGAGTTGGTCTTATCCTCAGAATACATATGCAGTAATATATCCTTCCTTGATAAACTGAATTACAGGAGAGGCTTTTGTTACTACTAATTTTGGCACTTTCAGTGCAGAGCCTTTTAGCCTTTCTCATCATTGAACAGCTTCTGTGGCGTCACTAGAATTCAAAGCTGAAGCACCTTTACAAAATAGTCCTACTTTTCTGTAGTTGAAAACTGACCTTGGCTCAAGTGGCAGACTGGAGGCTTTTGTCTGAGCACTTGAGATTTGGAGTTTTATATCACTTAGTCCATAAATTTGCATTTTTGTTCAGGAATGGGGATGTTTGTTGAGAGCAGATTTAAGACAGCTACTGACAGGAAAGGTTTAAGGCAGTGTCTCTAACCTGTCCTTCAGGCCCCTAAGGTCTCTCATTGGCATCTGAACTGTAGCTGTGGCTCTCCTTGACTGGGGAAGAGAACCTGTAGCTGGGATATCTGCCACTTTTCCTACCCCATGTCAGCCAAGGTAAGACACCCTACCAGAACACACACAAGCAGAGCAAAAATGTAAACCTTTATTTTTTTTTTTTTTTGAAAAAACCCCAACAGACCATCCCACTGTTTTCTACGACCAGTCCCCACCCCTAAACACAGTGGATTTGGTTAGCTTTTTGGCTAAAGAAGGTTAAATAGAAATACAAAACACGCTATCGGAAAGCTTTTAAAGTACAGTGTAAAAAGATGTCCTCAGCTGATGGAGCCGACCCGTATCTTTCTTAAATAAATAGGTAGAATCAATTACTACCGGATAAAGTGCAACAGTGGCAGAGCAGCAGGGTGAGGTAGCGCGCTGTGTGGCTGCTGCCCGCCCGAGCAGCGCGCCCGGGACGGGGTCTGACGGGGCGGGCTGTGGGTTAACCCTCTGCCCAGGCCGGGCCGCGTCCCGCCGGGGCGGCGCTCAGAGGGCGCGGAAGGCGCCGAGCGCGTTCTCCTCCCACTCCGAGCCCGACTCGGAGTAGCCGCTGGTGTCCTCGGCGTCCGACACGGGCGAGTACTGCCCGCAGAAGGCGCGGGCCGGCGCGAAGGGGCCGGCGGCGCTCCCCGCGAACGGGGCGGGCTCAGCCCCGCCGGGTTGGCCGGGCGGGAAGCCCTCGAAGCCGGGGCAGGGGGGGAAGGGGGCGGCCGACGGCCACTCGTAGGGGGCCGCCCCGTCCTCGGCCCGGGCCGCCCCGGGGAGGGCGCGGCGGGGCCGCTCCGGGGCGCGCAGGGCGGCGAAGCGGGGTAGTGGCGGCGGCGCGGCGGGGCCCTGGCGGGGCGGTCCCCGCTGGCGGCGGGACTTGGCGCGGCGGTTCTGGAACCACACCTGGGGAGAGAGGGTGGCGGTGAGGGCGGCGGGGCGGCCCCGGCGCGGCGGGCGCGGCGTGGCCGGCGCCCCTCACCTGGATGCGGGACTCGGGGATCTGCGTGGCGTCCGCCAGCTTCTCCCGCAGGTAGATATCCGGGTACATGGTATCCTGGAAAACCAGCTCAAGGGTCTCCAGCTGCGCCGCCGTGAAGCTCGTCCGCTTCCGACGCTGCGAGGCTGCCGGCGCCCCCTCCGACGGCTCGGCCGAGGGAAGCGTCCTGAGGGCGGGCGAGGCCGGGCCGGGCCCGCCGCCCCCCGCCCACCTGCCCGCGGGGAAGGCGGGCGGCTCCGCCGGGGCCCCCCCGAAGCGCAGCGCGGCCATGGCAGCGGCGAGCAGGGGTCTGGACCGTGCCCTGCCCTTTATAGCCGGGGAGGGGGGCTCGGCGGGGGCGGGGGTTCGAGGGGGCGGCACTGCCCCTCCAGGAAGGTGAGCGCCGGGGCCTCGCCGGACTGGGGGCCTGGGGGCGTCCGCCCGGGGCTGCTCCTGCCTCTCTTAGCCCAGAGGACTCGGCGGTGGCCGGGTACCGCAGCCAGCCCTAGGCCTGCCCGACGGCGTGGGTGATGTCTGGCAGCCCTCGGCGCCCTGCATGGGATGTGGACAGCAGAAGGGAGAGGGGAGAGGGAGCTTTGCATCTCTCCTTCGTGGGTAAAACAAGTTGGTGCTGGGAGGCTGGCACCCCACATAGGACTGTCCCCCAGCTGGGTTATTTCTGATAAAACATCTGGGCTGATAGGGTTATGGAGTTTGCTCCCTCCATCTACTTTTATGGAGGTAGGTGTCCTCCAGCAGCTGTCTGCTTTGGGGAGTGATGGATCTTGTGTGGTGTGAGACATAAAGCAAACAGAAGTTATCTCTTCCAGTGGCTGCAGCTGCTCTGCTTGCAATGCTGTGCTGCCAGCTGTGCGCTGGTGTATGGCCTCCTGCTGTGCCTGCGGCTGCAAAAACATCTCTTTCTTTTTAAGATGCAAGTGAAATGCACCTGGAGAGCCAGAGCCAGACGGGGCAGAGGCAGACACGAGTGTCATCGCCTTTCCCACCCACTTGCTAATGCCTATGTACTGCTCATCACACAGTTCTGTTTCCCAGCCTGTGTACTCCAACCAGCACCAAGGCAGTTAAAAAATGGTTTGCCCTCATTTTGCTCTACATGACTGTCTCCTTAAAAAAGTGTCTTTGTATGGAAAATTGTGGTTCTATTGTTAAAAGCCACTTTTGGAAGTTTTATTCCTAAAGCCCTTGTACATTTGTGCTTTTGCACATGCAGCAATCCAGGTGCTTTCATGACAGAAGTTTCTAGATTGTTCCCAAAATCATGGCCTGTAGTCTGCAGACAGCAGTCAGAAACATGAGACTTGTACAGTGTTCTCAATTAGCAGAGTAATGAGAGGGCACAGTGGTAAGAAAGAACATGGTGAGTGGTGATCCTGAAAGCACAGACAGCATTATTTTACCTTTTTGTTAAAGAAGGGTTAAATTACTCTGCAGACTGTGCAGATTTAGAGGATGCCACAGGTGGCACCAGAAGGGAAATTACTTTATAATACATTTACATGATGAATATTTTATCCTATTTTACATCTAATTATATTTGCTGAAAAACATAGCAGAAGTTTCTTTTCTGAGTAATGAAAAATAGAGATGTGACATCCTTTAGGTTTCTGAAGGATTTGATCGTGCTTTGAATTATGCCCTTTTATAGGAACATTGACTTTAGTTTCAAGGATTTGGTTAAGGTTTATTAAGTTTGCCAGACGAAGAAAACAGGTTTTTGTGGAAATGTGTTTTTTCACACACACCTGTGTTTTTCTTTCAGCAACAGCCCAGGCTTAAGGAGCTGCTGACACCACAGGCACCCCACTGTTCACCCCCATCCTGGTGTCTTCCCCTTAGCTGAGCATGTCTCAAAGCTGTGTGTCAGTTCACACAGTGCGATCAAGGAATTAATCCAAGTTAAATTAACTGTACAGTAACGGCAGTTGTGGGGTTTTTTTAACCCAGATCTGGAATTCCTACCTGTGGGTTACCAGCAGCCCCTGGGACAGCTGTGCAAGTGAGAGTTCACTGCTAGATGGAGCAGGAGGGAAATGAGGGGATCCCATCTGGGGTGCTTCTAGGACTACCACAACCTGGATCTAATGCTGAGCTAGAAGAGAACAAAACTGAGACAGACTATCCAGGAGTGTGGTGGTTTTCAGTGTCAGACTTCCCATTAAGACGACTATCAATGTATATTGAATACATACTGAGGAAAGAGTGAGTACTGGGAGCTAATAGACCTGTTCCCAACTCATAAATCTGGAAATGGGCTGACTCTTTGATCTCTGACTGCTGTGACATCCTTCAGACCAAAAGCCGCCTCAGTTCCCTTGCTGTTTATGGTTTCACAGGTGTTCCAATGGCTGTCTTGAGACAGCAGCTGACACGCTTCCCCTGATGAGGAAATAAATGGTGAGGTTTCCCAGGCCTGAAAGCTTTCATTAGGAGATACAGATGTAACATTTATAGACTATTAAAAAAAAGTCTACTTTGTTACAGCAGAAGAAAGGTAACTTTTACACAGTAAATTTTGTTGCAATGTATGTTGTACATGAGCGCAGGGTAACCGCTCTGCGGTGTGAAATAGGAAGCCTGTGTGACTGAATTGTGGGCAAAGCAGTCAGTGCCTTTCATCCAGCCCAGGTTTACACAAACAGGCTCCACGGTATGGGGCTCACGCTCAGGCTCTGCGTTACCTGTCTGCAGACAACTGCATTTTCTAGCAGATGTACCTGTGAGGGCTGAGGCTGCTGTGAGCAGGTCAGGCTGCACACCTTTGGTGCTGACCTCTGTTTACTTCTAGCCTGCCTCCGTTTCTCTTTCTGGGCTAACACCAGCATGATGATATATTTTGGTGACGAGGACTTATTTGCTTACCAGCGGTATGTGCTGGATGCAAAGCAGAGCAATTCTGGGGCCATAGCCCAGAAAACATATTTTCTCTTTCCTGTTGCTCAGAGCATCACACAGTAATTTCCTCCATGGGATCCTCCTGGCCACTCTTCTGTATTGGCTCGGTTTAAAAGATATCTCAGATTGAGGAAAGGCAAGGGGGACAGTGATTGTAAAGCAGTATGCTGTTAGGTGGAGATCAGAGTAGGAGGATTTTGCCTCCTCCTAGACAAGTGGGGTGACAGAAAGACATCTCCTTGCTTCTTTCTGCCAGTTCTCTCCCTTCCAATGTTGGCACAATTCACGGCTCCCACAGTGTCAGCCCACTGATGTCCTAAAAGCCATGCCTGTGGAGTAATGCAGTGTGCCTTCTGCAGCAAGGAGAAAGCACTCTGTCTGGATTCAGTGGAGTTTCCTTTCCCTGAGAAGTAGTTTTGCATCCAGCTGTGTCCCTGGTAGTCTGACAAGGAAGTTTCCAGTGTCTTGTAGGTGCCAATATCTGCATGGAGTCATACGTAGGCAAGGTCTGGAAGCATTTAGGAAGACACTCAGAGTCTGCTCTCTTCCTGTTCTGCATACTTGCTTTTTTTTGTGTCCTGTCTAGATACAAAGGGGGATTTTACTTCTTCCCCCCAGATGCAGAAGGTATAAGTCCAGAAGTGGCTTGCTTTTTGAAATTATAATGGCTAAAACTGAGAGAGCTATCTCTGAGGGAAGAGCAAACTGCCTTGTGTTGCTATGCTCCTGCCTTACATGACTTGAGGAACTGGAGCTTGGGAAGCATCGCAGAATGTATGGCAAGAGTATGCAGCAGTGTGACATGTGGCCCTTAGTGCCATGATATAGTAATTGGAGTTGGATCAGGGGTTGGACTTGATGATCTTGGAGGTCTTTTCCAACCCAATCTACTCTATGATTCTATGATTCTATGACTTTGCTGACAAAACAAATGCACCCCTTTAGATAACTAACACACATGAGCAGTTCTGCTGCTCAGTCCTGCAGGGGATGGGGCATGATGGGTTTTGCCATGAAGTGGTTTGTAACTGCTAGTGCAGCCTTTGATGTGTTCAAACTCCTTTGGCTTCTCACATAACCTTGGTCCTTCTAGGACTCCTCATGGACACAGCTCTTCCATGGGATTCTGTCATCCCAGCAAAGATTATTGGAGTGGTGGTTTTTTTGTTGGTTTGGTTTGGGTTTTTTGTTTGGTTGGTTGGTTTGGTGGTGGGGTTTTTGTTTGTTTGTTTGTGTGGTTGTTGGGTTTTTGGTGTGATTTTGTTTGTTTGTTTGTTTTGTTTGTTTTGGTTTGAGTTTTTTGGGGGTTTTTTTGGTGGCTGTCTTTAACGTGAATCCTCTGGTCTCCAAACCTGAGATTGAAGTTTTCAGTAGTGTAGATTTAGCAGTGTCTTGTCAACCTGACTAAACTTGCAAAGACTTGGTATCTCGGAGATCTCATTTTCTACATCCACAGTGGAAAAGGCCAACAGGCTCAAATCTTATCACAGTATCACAGAACGGTTTGGGTTGGAAGAGACATTAAAGATCATCTAGTTCCACCCCCCCTGCAGACACCAGCAACCCCCAGCAGAGATACCTTCCACTAGACCAAGTTGCTCAGAGCTCCATCGAGCCTGGCCTTGAACACTTCCAGGGATGGGACATCCACAGCTTCTCCGGACAACTTCTGCCAGTGTCTCACCACCTTTACAATAAAGAATTTCTTCCTAATATCTAGTCTAAATCTGTCCTCTTTCCACTTAGAGCCATCCCCCTTGTCCTGTATCTACATGCCCTTGTAAAAAGTTCCTCTCCCTATATTAGGAGACTGTATTATATTAGGAGACTGACCAAAATAAAATGAATAATAGTCACACAAACCTGATTTCATTAACTTAGAGAAAGTTTAAGAAAGAACAAAATCACCCATTTGCTGTTAAGACTTAGCCTAAGTTTAAGCTGTATTGAAGAAGCAATCCCTGGATAATTATCTCACAAATAAAATTAATTGTAGACCAGAGACATTTGTATGCTTGCACACATAACTGCATTTGCTTCAGAGCTCCTGCTGGCATGAAAATGCCATATAATTTGCAACTTCTCTAGCAGGGTCCTGATAGTAGAAATTGTTAATGCGTGTTAGACTTAGGTTTTGAGGTTTTTTTCTCTATGCCTAAGATGACATCTTTGGATGAGTACTTAATTTCCCTTTGATGGCTTCTACTCATTGTGACAAAGCTCTTTACAGTATCCAAGTGCATTTAGAGATTTATCAGGTCTTCCCAATGTACAGACACCAAGATCTATATACTGAGGCTTTTAGGTAAAGTTCTGAGCTCTCACAGTGATGTCATGTGTTTAATTTATAGTTGTCATTTTTCTATCCCTCGTGG